CGGCTACGACCGGGGCTCGAGGCCTGTGCTCGGGCGGTCGATGCCGTGGATGCCGCGGAGGCGGGCGGGGGGATGGGGGAGGCCGAGAGAGCGCCGTCGTGGCGATGCACCAACTTCACGTTCAGATGCGGCTCCGCACTGCTAAACATGGCCGTCTGCTCTTCCTTGCCCTTCGATTTTTTCATCAACGGGTCGTACTCCCCCTGGCCCCCTTTAATCTCCTCCTTAAAGACGGCTGGGAGCCGCCCACTGTAAGATCCCCCTCCCCCTCCCTCCCCCTCCCTGTCTTCGTCGGCGTGTAAGACGGGCATTTTCACCTGGAAAAAGTACTGCTCTCGGGGCCACACCGGATCCAGCGTATTGGGCACTACGGACGTACCCTGCACGCTCCCTTCAAACTCGAGTATGGCGTACGGGTTGGAATGGCCGTTCGAGAAGAAACCTCCCCCCACTGCCGCCGGCAAATTCCTGGCCGCGACGATGCGTACAATCAAGGTGCCCACACTCGTCAAACTATAGAATTCGCCGTCCTCCAAATTTTCATCTCCCTCATAAGCGGGTCCTTTGTGGTAGGAGGCAATGCTTTTGGCATGACCACCGGCCTTTGCAGCCCCTGTAGTTCCCCGCCCGCCCGTCTCGACGCCGCCTGTAGCCTGTCCCTTAGCTTTGGCGCTGCTGTTGCTCATCTTTACGAGTCTGTGCAAGGACCTAGTGCGGTACAAAGCGTGGGTGCGATCAGTGAAACATTTTGGTGCTACCATGGCTACCATTGTTCTGGTTCACGCGTTGCACGGGAGCCTGTTCAGAGACTCCGTACGTCAAGAAGACGCGCAAGCTCCACTGCCCCCTCCCTAAAGATATATTGCGCCGTCCACATGTACGACACGGCAGTATTGTCCCCTTTACCTCAAATCGCCTGTGAGAGCATGTCTTGGGCACGGGGAACGTGTATAAACGAATGTCGTGACGTCGCTGTTTTTTAGGGTGTGTTCGGCGGCTTGCTTGCTTCTGGCTACCAGATGCAAAAGGCATTCCCGCTCTTAGAAAGGCGTTTTTATGAGACGATCGACTTAAGATCCTTAATTTGTAGCCAAGGCAGTTGATGACGAATCAAAATTGAGCTTCTAGTTTTGTTAAATCGTGTTTCTTTCCTCTTATCTGACGAAAATCAGCCCGGAGGGGCTCTTGATCCGCATCTACCCTAACAGGAAGTAAGCACGGCGCACCCAAATGCGAAGAATTTTGCAAGAAGGGAGCAGACATACCCGGGGAACCTTCAACATCTCCAGTCACTCACATCCTTTTCATGCCTTGAGACTTCCTCCCACTTTTAGCCGACCTCCGCTTCTTCCTGCCTCTCTGGGTCTTCGATTCATCAGGATCGGCCGGAAAGGGGAAGATGGCCCTCATTTTTCAACGCAAAAGGACGAGACCAAGAGGGCACCGCAACGCACCTCCCTGTCTCCCTACGAGATTGTTGCCACAAAACTCGGGCGCTTTGACCGACAATTGCAGGCGTTGCAGGTAGACGCCGAGGGGGAGGTGAGCACATGCACGACTTCCATCAAAGAGCTCTTACTGGACACCCAAATGCACGTCAGAGACCTGATCGCGCTCTCTCCCGAGGCCCTTCGTAAGCGGGGCGGTCGCCTGACTCCCTGTATCCTCCCCCGGAAAGACGTGATCGTCTTCGTGATGCATCCCTTGCGCCTCGTGATTTCCAAGAACAGTTGTCTGGCCTTCGATCCCGGGGACCCCACCGTTCAGTCTGTCATCGCCGACATTTCTTCCGCCATCAAGATCCAGCAGCTGGAGAGGGCTCACCTGGCCAAGTCGGGGAATGGGTCGGTCCTAGAGCCGTACGCCATTTCCTACGAGCTGGTGGTGCTGGAGCAGGCCTTACGCAGCTTCTGCAACCAGTTCTCCCGCATCAAGGAGCTCCTGGGCTTGATCGTCGAGACCTCATTGAAAGCCCTGGTCGACTCACAAGGATCCGACCAGGAAGAGCAGCTGTACAGGCTCGTGCCCCTCAAGGACGGGTTGGCGGTGGCGCAACACAACATGCAGGAGGCCGTAGGGGTCTTGCAGCAGCTCGTGGACTGCGACGAGGACATGCTCGCCATGCTCCTCACAGAAAAAGCCGCGTTGCAGAAGGAGAAGGCACGCGTCTCCAGCCAAGCGGCCCGACTGGACCTCAATCTGCACTCGGACGTGGAGCTCCTGTTGGAAAACTACCTTCGGGAGTTGATTCTCACGGGGCAGCAGATCAAGATGCTGCAGGCACGGGTTCAGAGCGCGCAGGAGGTGTTCTCCATCAACGTGGATCTGATGCGGAACCGTGTGCTTCGTATCACGCTGCTCCTGACCATCCTCAGCACCAGCCTCGCCTCCGCCGCCACCATTGGCGCCTTTTTTGGCATGAACGTCCGGCTGCCCGAGTCCCTCGAAACCCATCCGGAGGCCTTTGCCTGGATCACGGTCGGCTCCATCTGCCTGGGGGCAGGTCTCTTCGCTTTGGCCGTCGCCTTTGCCAGGGGGCACGGGAAGGATCGGGTCCGTCGAGACCTCCAGTCCGTGGCGGCCTTCCAATCCATTTTCAAGCACATCCGTTCCGTCAGTCAAGCCATCTACCAGACATCTCTAGACCCGAAAGAGGTGGCCATGGGGAAAACGAAGGAGTCCCGCGCCTACTTTCGGAAGATGCTCAGCGCGCATCGGAACTACGAGGTGTCGTGGGAGGAGGTGGACGTCTTGATGGACGTCCTCGGGGCCTCGGCCGACCAATTCCGGCAACAACAGAAGTACAGCGACGAGACGAGCGAGGCGACCATCTATCGGAAGCTCTTCGAGTCCCTGGCCGCGCAGGAGAGGCAGGAGACGCCGGGGGACGAGGATTTCGAGGCAGCGGGGAGAGAGGCGCGTGATCGGGTGGCGGAGGCCAGGAGAGAGAGGCCGCCGGTCTGAAGATCGTAAGGGGCTGTTTATATGGTGAAAAAGCATATGTACGGATGCTTTTTCGAAAGCCATCCCTCAAATCAAATTCACGTCCAAGGGCCCGCGGTAGTTCCCTTATTCTTTTTTTTCTTTTTGAGGACTGTTGTAAAATTTCGCCGCCAAATTTCTTCTCTTTGACATGTGTTGTAAAATTTCGCCTCGATCGCACGCAGGAGACGCACCTTCACTCTGACCACCCGTCCCCATCTCACGCAACCAGAGAGCTTCCTCACATTTCCTTCATTTACCTAGCCTCTCGTGTCATTCGCCTACATCTCCCCGTTGCCGCGTCGCATCGCAGTCTCCCGATCCCCGATGTCGCTAGCGCCGCCCCTATCGCGCTGGGCCCGACGCACGTCTGAGTCTCCTTCCGACGGCCGTCCACGCACCTGCATCACTCCGCTCTCCCTTCTAAAATTGTCACTCAGCCCAGCACCCCCTCCGACCTACCCGACCGGCTTCGCGCCTATCTTGCTTCCTCGCTAGCTCACACTTTACTGAACACCGAACCCGTTTCTTATTTATTTATTTTGGCTGCATGGTCCTCATTGCTTGATGAGAAGCGCCGGGCACTACAGACAATGATGTCCACAGCAGCAAAATTCTTATAAGCCTTCGCCAAAACGTCTGTGTCATTACTACGTACGTGTATTCAGTACTTCGAAATAGTGACTAATCATCAGACTCACATTTCAATAAATTTGCCCACAAATCATTCTCTTCCTAACGCACTTCCTTTCTCATGTCTAAATTTCGCTCCCGTGGACACCTCAGAGAGACGACCGCGGCGCAGACCCTTTCACCTTCCCGCCCATCCCCACCAGGCCAAGGGTCTCCCGCCGCCTCCCCTTCTCCTCCAAGCCGTCCGTCCCTTCCACCACCCGGGCCCAGCTCCCTTCCTGTGCCCGCACAATGCTCAGGGGGGTAACGCCATGCTTGCGCAGGCAGGTCAGGAACTCGTCCATGTCCACGTAGGTCCCCTCCAGGTGCCGCATGCCCGTCCGAGGGTCGAAGGCCTTCCGCCCGTGCAAGATGCGCCGGTTGTTGAACGCGACCATGTCCCCCGCCTTCATTTTCACCTCCACGCACAGCTCAGGTCGGCAGGCGATCGCCTGGAAATGCGCCAGGGCTCGGTAGACGCGGCCCATGACGGCCGCCGGCAACTCCAAGGGCCCGCGGGTGCGCTCGTTGAAATGGATCTCGACCAGGCGACCCGCGTCGTCCAGGCAGATGGTAGGGATCTTGTGGTAGTGGAAGCCCTCCCCGTCCTTGACCAGGAAGGGAATGGGCACCTCGCACAAGGTCCGGTAGTCCTCGGCACTCTCCCGACGCAGCGTCTCCGCCACCCAGAAGCCGTCCACGAAGGTGCTCTCGCCCCCCGCCGCGTCGGCGGCCAGACAGTGCAAGAGCTGAATGCCCGGGCTGCTCTCCCGGTAGTTCAGATCCGTGTGTACCTCCAGTTCCACGGGGGTGTAGGCGAGATGTTCGGGTTTGCGGGCCGACACCACTTGGAAGGAGTTGCCGTAGTGCGTCTTCCGGTGGTAGGCGATCAGGTCGGCCATTTTCATGACAGTCCCGGGGGTCGTGGGCACGTCCTCGATCAGGGCCACGCCGTAGTCGCGCAGGTGCACCATCCATTGGACAAAGCCCTGTGCGGAGGTCTGCCAGCCCGCGTCACTGCCAGCCGCGACCTTGACCACGTCCGAGTAAGGGAGGGTGGGAAGGACGTACCCCGGGAAGTAGGAGACCAAGTCGCGGCCCCACATGCGCGGGTTCACCTGATGGTGCTGCCGTGTCTCATAGCAATGCTGCCGGAGCCAGGCTGAGGGGAAGGCGTGCGAGAATCCGTCCTTCCAGGTGACTTGGAGGAATTCGGCGGAGGCGCCAGACGAGGGTTGACCTTTGGCGGGGCCGGCGGCACACGCGGAGAGCACGTAGGCCTCGGGACCTAATTGCAAGGTGTTCTTGGTGCGTTGTCCGGTCGAATTGTCGAAGTAGACCGGGCAATTGTCGCGGAGCCAGGCGCCGTGGAAGAGGCCGCGGGTGCCGTCTTGCCAGGACACCTCGACGATGCCTTTTTGCTCGTGCAATAGGACCTAAAACAGGGAGCGAATGCGAAGACCAAGACACGGATGCATCGCCTTAGAGTGAGTGTTTATCAGGAGGCTACGATGCAGCATACCACGCACACATAGACGGTCCGTCGCACAAGGTCTTGGAAGGAGATGGGTCCGGAGTGATCCTTTGGGGGTCTCCGAGGGAGCATGGAGAGCAACCAGCTCGCGTGAAAGTGTGCTCTACATACACACATGCATCTCTAGTTGACACACGGCACCGCTCATGCTGGTACATACGGGCAACAAGTTGGAAGTTGCATGCAAATTTGCATTTTCCTGAGCTTCACCCCGTCTGGTACCTTACCTGTGTGAGTGTGCGCATGCTTTGCAACCTAGATTCCGGTGCCGCAAGTGTACGTCCCTTCTTAGGAGAGGGGCGTGGTGCGGAAGCACGAGGAGTAGCAGCAACGGCGTGAATGTTGTCCGAAGGCATTGATATCTGTCGGTTTGCTTCATGAATGGCGTGGCGAAAGCTCAGATAAGACGCGGGTGCGCGTCTTGAACATAAACACGACGCACCGTCGTAAACAACAATGCGGAAAAGGACAACAAACGTACTAGTCACAAACATGTGCAGAAGGCATCGTGCAAGTGCATCATGTCTAAAGACTACTCCTGCGATGTCGTAATGTTATGCGACCCATCTGGGTTGTCGCGCTTTGAGGAAGAATCGAGGCAGATTCACGCGTGCACGGACAGGACAGGAGAACGTCAGGTTTACGCCGCAGTCGTCGGCCGCGACGCCACAAATGTACCACGATACCCAAAAGCGAGCGAATCTCCACGGTGCCTGGTCCATGGTACCACAATTCCTTCCCAAATCTTTCCCCCGTCCGTCCCTCCCCCGATGCCATATCCGGGGCGAAATTGTGCGCAAGCCATCGCGGTTCAAGCATGCCCTCAAATATTCGTAACGGTTGGGCCCTGACGCCGCATTGGGCCCCTCCGGATTTAGGTCCTGGCTCCCAGGACTCAGACACGCGGACTGTCCACCGAGGGCGACGTGGGCATGGTCTGCTTGTGGTGGTGGTCGTGCCGGGGGAGTATGGGCAGAATGTGTCCGTGGAGTCCCGTGACCATATCTGAGTCTATCCAGGGACGTGGGCCTGGGTTTCGTAGTATCCCTCGCGCGCCGGATTTTTGCCCTCGTCAAGCCCTGGCTTTTTGCCTCACCCAACCCTCGTCGCACTTCTCCCTCTGGCCAGCAGCGCCTTGCTGCCATAATCGGCGGACAAACTATACGGTTTAATCATTTCAACGCTGGAACAGGACCGTGATTGTTGCGCTCTGCGGCCATGAGCAAAATTCGTTTCCAGGTATGTTGGTCAAGAGCGCGCGAAATAGAAGAAAAATGAGGCGAAACGAGACGTGAGGGCAAATTTTTCTGGGAAACCATGAAAATCGCCTCGTGTCTAGACTTTCGGGTATTGAAAAGAAGAGCATGTTGTATTTTTATGGAGGATTCCATTGGTTTGTGTATTACTGCCGTGGTCTCTGCGGGTACCAGGACAGAAAAAAGATGCCTGAACATTTTTGACAAGCTTCCAGCGCATCCAATGCGTCCATCTTTCAGTTAAGCGTCCCATTTTCATCAGCCGTGATGCTCAACATGTCCTTTTCCACCATTTACAACGTTTTCGGCTAACCAGGTGGTCTATGCCTCGGGGCAGGACCCTGAACATCCGGCGGAAGAGTTGAACGTCCACAGCCCCGCCACGGAAGGGTGGCAATCTCCGCGCTTCTGTGACTATCCTCAAGAGCTTGGCCTCTTCCTGCTTGACACACCCTGTCACTTGTCACGTGTCCAAATCCTGTCGCATCAGTCCAAAATCGCCACCAAAGTAGAGCTCTTCGTCGGGGACGGTGGGAACTACGCGGAGGCGGCCTTCGCACGCCTGGGATACCTGTCCCTAAACAGCAACCAACGGTCCAACTTTCGAGCGCGCGAACTCAAGAGCGTGTTCGTGTCCTGCTCGGGCAGGTTTTTGAAGCTGGTCATCCACCGATGCCACGTCAACAAATTCAACCTCTTCAATCAGGTGGGCTTCGTCGCCATCAACCTCCTCGGGGAAGGGGGGCCAGACCCCAGCCCGGAGCCTTTCCTCCCGCCTCACCACGCGGGGGGAGCGGACGAGGAAGGGGTGCACGACTTGGCGTACGAGCTCTCCCCCTTCGACCCGGACACGACGCGGCGACTCCGTGCCTTGCTAGCGGCCAAGGAGGGGGCGGTGCGGGCGGAAAACTACGACGAAGCCAAGCGACTCAAGGCGGCCGAGGCGGCCTTGCGTGAAGGAGGGCAACGCATCAGTGCCCTGGAGGAAGAGAAGCGGCAGGCGGTGCGGGAGGAGGAGTACGACCGCGCCAAGGCCTTGAAGGAGGAGATCGAGGGGGTCCGCGCCGAGGTCGAAGGCCGGATCGGCCCCCTGTGGGCGGAAGGCACGTTCGGTGGGGCGGGCGTCTCTACCTCCGGGTCGCTTTCCCAGCCCCAGCATGTCCATCACCCGCCTTTAGAGCCGGTGCGTGCGGTGGGCGAGGGTGGCCGTGGGCAGGTCAGCCCCCCCCGGGCTTCGGCAGGTGCAAGGGAGGGAGCGGTCTTGA